ATTTCCCAAAGAAAACTTTTTCCTTACTAAATAAACCTCTTTTCAAGGTCTAAGTAAAGTTGTAGAGGAGTGTCTTGTGATCAAAATGACAGTTAAATGTTAAAATCGGCCCAGTTGTTCGTGAGATATAAGCATTTTAGTCTTTGCAGCTAAATGTTTTCTTTATTTATTTAAAGAAGAAAACATATAGCTGCGAAGACTAAAATATTTATATCTCACGAACCACTAGGCCGATTTTAACGTTTTAACTGTCATTTTGATCACAAGACACTACTCTACAACTTTACTTAAACCTTGAAAAGAGGTTTATTTAGTAAGAAAAAAGTTTTCTTTAGGAAATGCCAGATTCTAAAGACAATAATAAATCTTATCACTTTTTACTATGCTTTGTCACTGGTTCTTAGGCAGACTATGAATTAATTATTATTTTTTAGTTTATTTTATAAAACTAACCTTCATTATTTTTTATTTGGTATTCTCCAAATAATGGTGAATCCTGCTATAATTCACCATGCCAAAATTCTTGCTTTTTATCTGTTACAATTCCAGGACCAAAATATATCTTTTGCATAAGTTTTGGATTATTTAGAATACGTTCTAGATATGCTAATGGAGAAATAGTAAAGGCTTTTTTTATAGGTTCGCATGTGGATAGTGTTCTGTTTATACAGAGAGGTACATTTTGATTGTATATTTTAGTCAAAGATAATCTATTCCTCCATTTCCGAATGCGGCGAATATTTGTAGGAACATTATCTTTTTGAAACTCAGGATGTGTTATAATTTTGACAAGATCTTCATATGCAGAGGTTGCTATGTATATAAAAATTTATATTATCATTATGCTACTATATATATACATAGATATAGTAAATTAATTTATTCAAATTGAGTGACAGAAAAGGAAAACTAAAGATTGTACCCGGGTAGATACTTTATTATAGGGCTATAATAAATTATCCGGATAACCGGGTAATTTAATAGTACCTGGGTAGAGATTTTCTTGACGGGTACAATCTCTAGGGAAAACTTGTAAACCATTTCGCTTATTATTATTGCAGTAATATCTACCTCTATAAGAATTAGGAGTACATATCATTGTGATAATGAGTGAAATGATTTACAGGTTTTCCCTTTCCGTCACTTATATAATATGTTTATTAATTTATATTACTTACAAATCATATGTTTGGTAATCCAAATAAAAATCATTGCAGATGTGAAATTTGAAAAATATGGACCATATTTGCTATTAAAGCCCTCAAAGTCAGAAGACATATCTTCTAGTATATCAGTTTCCAAAGCTTCTTCTAAA